ACTTTTTAAATTTCTACTTAAATCTATAAATTAAACACAATTTAAGGGGTTGTTGGTTAAATCTATAAATTAAACACAATTTAAGGGATTGTTGGGATGATCTAAATAAGTGTACTTTTTAACTTTTTATAAAATATGAGTTGAATTTAAAGTGATGTATTAAAGAAATAATGTGACTTAAATAAGATGATATGACTTAAATAAGGTATTGATTTTTTAATTTTTTTGTGTTATGAATGTTACCAAACCTTTGTCGTGGAGGTGTACTAGGCTTGGCTTGGCACTGGTGTGGTGTCACAATTTCAGTCTTGTTTGTTGCTTGTCAGTGATTGGAGTGAGCTGTATTAAAATGAAACCACGTTGTTCTTTTTTCGGAGTTGGTGCCAATAATGAGATGACGAGCTACGTAGCTTCTTCCACCTTCCACCGTCAACACTTCCACCGACTTCGTTACCATCTCACCCGTCTTATCATATGAACCTCATTTCTATCGCTTCTTTCCAATGTTTCTAGGGGAAATTATCATTTCAAAGCATATTTTAAAAAATTATTACATATTGATAAAAAAAAAATTATGATTATAATTATAATTATAATTATAATTATTGATATTTATAATATTTGTTATTTTTTTATATATTTTTTTCCCCTAATATAACACCACATAGGTATAATTTTCCCATTTTCCTTTTCTTTTCATCTCAAATCTTCTCTATCTAACAATCTCTCTATCACACGTTCAATTTTTTTCAATAGGTGAAAATCAAGTTTTAAACAAAACGATATTATAGACAAAAGATTTTTTTGTTTCTATTTGGAAAATAAAAAATAAAAAAGAAAAGAAAAGAAAAAGACTGAAGCATCACTTAAGAATAGAAATACAATAATTAACATTATGAGAGAGATTGTTAGAATAGAGAAATAGTGATTGTTGTGTGTGTTTATTTATTTATTGAAATAATTTTTTTTTTCTTTTTTGATAATTGAGAACCTATCCTAAGGTAAGGAGGATCCTTTGGATCCATGTTGGATCGCAAACTCGCAATACATGTAACTTCCCGTTAATCTCACATATGGGCAAGATAAGATATTAAAACTCGAATCTAAACTAATGCATTATTTGATATTGTTTTCAAAACTTTTGTTTTAAAAAAAAATTATGATTATAATTATAATTATAATTATAATTATTGATATTTATAATATTTGTTATTTTTTTATATATTTTTTTCCCCTAATATAACACCACATAGGTATAATTTTCCCATTTTCCTTTTCTTTTCATCTCAAATCTTCTCTATCTAACAATCTCTCTATCACACGTTCAATTTTTTTCAATAGGTGAAAATCAAGTTTTAAACAAAACGATATTATAGACAAAAGATTTTTTTGTTTCTATTTGGAAAATAAAAAATAAAAAATAAAAAAGAAAAGAAAAGAAAAGAAAAAGACTGAAGCATCACTTAAGAATTGAAATACAATAATTAACATTATGAGAGAGATTCTTAGAATAGAGAAATAGTGATTGTTGTGTGTGTTTATTTATTTATTGAAATAATTTTTTTTTCTTTTTTGATAATTGAGAACCTATCCTAAGGAGTATCCTTTGGATCCATGTTGGATCGCAAATTCGCAATACATGTAACTTCCCGTTAGTCTCGCATATGGGCAAGATAAGATATTAAAACTCGAATCTAAACTAATGCATTATTTGATATTGTTTTCAAAATTTTTGTTTTTGTTTTTTATGTCTCCGTTGAGTAATAAAAGTAATGAAAAGTTCAAAAAATACCTTTTATAATTTTTATATTATTTTCATTTTTATGTTAAAATAGTTTTCATAAATTAAAAAAAAAATTTAAAATGTTTCAAAATCATATGTATTTTTTTTAAAAAAAAACATTGTCAAAAACAATTTGTCAAATAAATTTTCATATCAATTTTAATTTTTTTCAGAAATAAATAGAAAGTAAGAACAAAAACGATATGAAACACACAAACATTTCCAAACTACCGACATCTAACAAGTGAAAAATTAATCCATTACCAATGACAATGTTAAAACTATAATTTGATATGCTGTAGTATAAAAATATCAAACTTTGATAATATTTCTCTACTATGTAAATATCATTTTGGGACATACTAACCATTTGACATCAAAATCTTTGAAAGTGAGCTGAGTTGACATAAATGTTATTATTAAACTTGAAACTAAATTTCAAAATCTTATTTTTAATAAATTATTTGACTGTGTTTGGATGAATAACTTGAGAGATGGTTTGGAAAGAAAAAGAAAAAGAAATTATATTCATTCAATTTTCTCTTCACAAATTACTCTTTAAATTTTTAATCCAAAGGTTGCATTTAGCAAGATAACAGAGAATATTTTTGAATGAAATTGCTTGGCAACAACAACAAAAACCATTTCAGTGGAGTTGCTGGTGTGAGGCCTGTTAAAAGCAAAAAGTTTGGACTAATAGCAATTGCGCAATGTAATTACTGTTATATAACAATTACAATCATTATTGCAGTTGTTTGAGATTGCACTAAGTGCGAAGATATTAAATGCAATAAGTTTTGATTAGCGGTGAATTCATTACAAGTTTTGTTTTGATAATTTAATTAGTTTATTTTATAATTTTTTTATGAGTAAAATGATCATTAAAAATAGGGCCATTTACCTACAAGTCTCATTTTGTAAATTTATAATCCATTAAGTCTTAAATAAAATTATTTATTCTTTCAAGTCCCATTAATTTTTAATAGACCAATTTACCATTCCAACAAGCTCCTGGCAAGATCTCTATGTAGTGCGTGTGTTTCACGCACAGTATAAAAGAAAAAAAAAATAGAAATCCCGCTCAAGGTTTTTCCAGATCTACCAGCTGTAGAGCTCTCCTCCGCCGTCCCTCTACTCCACCGTCCGGCGTTGGCTATCTCCCTCTCCGTCTCCATCTTCTTCTTCCTCTCCGCCGTCCATCTTCTCCACCGTCCGACGTCTTCCGTCTTCTCCCTTTCCGATCTTCATCCTTACTGTGTTAGCCTCGGGACATGCTGCTAGTAACATGACTGGTTGGAAAAGTTGATGACACTGCTTGTTTTTTCCCTCCAGTTGTAGTGACAACTAGTTGTATATGTATATATAAATGATAAGTATTGGCAAAGCTTTCTGGTTCTGGGTTGAAGAACAATGACTCACTGGATATATAAATGATAATATTCTCGACTTTAATCATGAAAAAAATTGAGAAATTTCTCAAAATTGATAATTATAAATTTCTTAGTTTTGATAGTTTTGATAATATTCTTAGTTCACACTGGAAAAAAAAAATTGAGAAATTTCTTAGTTTTGATAATTATAAATTGAGAACATTCTCAGTTTTAGGATTAAAGAGTAAAACGTCTTTTTACCTATAAATGAGACTTATTGGTTCAAAAAAATTTTGACAGGACCTAAGCTACCACCAAATATGTAAATAGGACTTTTAGGTAATTAATCCTTAAAAATATTACATTGATTTGATAATTATAATTATATATTTGCATAAATAATTTTGATATATAAACGTACAAAATAGGTATATCGAATTGTTACAAGAAAATTAACAAGCAACCCTCAAATTTATCTTAGAGATAGACTTATGCTGTGTTTGGTTGAAAGATTTGAGAAGGGATTTGGAAAGGGAAAGAAAAGAACTGTGTAAAATTAGATGAAATTTATGTATATTTTATTCACATTTCACTTATCTTTTTCATTTCTTTTTTCAAATTCCTCATCAAATTTTTCAACCAAACACAACCTTAATTGGTTGATTAAAATTCACCAACAACATACTAAAATACTCTTATTGCAAAAGGTTCTAATTTTTCAAAGCTTATAAATCTTGATAGATTTCTTTCAAGTTTAATATGAATTTGAAAAAAACTTAACAAGTCTGTATGATTTGTTACAGATCTCATTTTGATAATCTAAATTATTTATGTTTTAATTTTTTTTCATAAATATCATACATAAAAAAATTAAATCATCTAACAATCATAATCATTTTGTTTGGTTTTAGAATTTACTTTTTAGAAAATTATACTTTTTTGTTTTTCGTATTTTTTTTTGTTTTCACTGATTTTTTAATATTTTAAGATTTTTTTAATTTTTAGATACACCTAACATAAATATATTTTAAAAGTATAATATTTGTGAAAAAAAATTCACTAAAAATATAAAAAAAAAAACAAAAATTCAATACATTTTTCGTATTTTTATATATTTATTAATTTTTTAAAATATATTTTTTTATAAATATTTATTATTTAGATACATCTAAGTAAGATGCATCTAAAAAAGTAAAAAAAATGATTAAAATTTAAAGAATATTCACTAAAAATAAAAAAATTCAATTTAAAAAATAAATAAATTCAAAAAACTAAAACTAAAACTAAACATATTGAATAGTTTTATTATAGGATATTTTGAAAAAATGATTAAAAGTTAAATTTTTAAATTTAAAAAAAATATATGAGGGATAATATAATTTAAAATAAATTAAAATCTAAAAAGTGACTATAAAGGTACTTCCTAAAAGAGACCTGTATTGCATTTAATTCTAAAAGAATCACTATTACAGATACAGTGTTCAAATGTGAAGCTTTGCTGGTTTTTAGATGAGCTCATGCACATGATAGATCTACATGGTGATAATGACACTGAAATCACTGCATATTTATAGTACTATTATATCCGCGTGCAACACACTCACCGAACATTGATCTCATTAATCACTCTCCTAAAATTTTGATGCTGTTCGATTCTTTTGTCAGCTCATTTTTTTTCTCCATTTTAACCTCTCTTTTTAAAAAAATTATTGATTAGTTTAAATACGACTTTATTTTTAATTAATCATAAATTATTATATTTTTTAAGTATTTAATACAAACTAATAAGTTTTATTTTTTTCACTCATCACAGTACATATATAGAGCACAACGTTGTTGTGATGAACCAACAACTTCTCTTTTTTGGGGGTATTGAGCTCATCTCAGTCACGCAGTTATGATCCTCTCCCTCGACATCTGTGATTGAAAGCTCTGTATAACCACACACCCTTAATCATAATCATATATATATATATATTCCTAGTAAAGTTCTTGGTCTCAGAGAGCCTACATACAGAGAGAATGGTTCTCTTTGCTCTGCACTTTCACTCCCACTAGACCACAATCACAACCTCTCTCTCTCTCTCTCTCTCTCCCCCTCTCTCTCAGCTTCAATTTTCTCTCTACCCAGAAAGAGAGGAGAATTGAACGATCTTTATACAAACCAAGGAAAGGAGTGAAATTCAGAGAGAGAATCATGGAATTCAAATGGGTTTTTGTGTTCTGCTTTGCATTGTTTCTGGGTTCTCAGCTTGTCCAGAGTAGCGTCACATACGATAGAAAAGCAATTGTGATCAATGGGCAAAGAAGAATCCTCATCTCTGGATCCATACATTACCCAAGAAGCACCCCTGAAGTACTTCAAACCTTTCTGATTTCGTTAATTTTAATTTTCTCACTCGAATTTTCTCGAGAAAACTCACAAACACAGTCGGTATGATCTTTCCTTTATGGGTTGTTTCTGATTTTGTTTTGGGTTCTGTGTTTAGATGTGGGAAGATCTCATACAGAAGGCCAAAGCAGGGGGTCTGGATGTGATTGAGACATACGTTTTCTGGAATGTTCATGAGCCTTCTCCTGGCAATGTACTTTACTTTCTTCTAGTTTTTTTACTTCATAATTTAAGTCTGTGTTCTGTTTTGTTCTGTTCTTTACTCTGTTTTTATGGGGTTTTCTTAATTTTTTCTTGTTTTACTGTTTTTTGTGTGTGGGTTTCAGTACAATTTTGAAGGGAGATATGACCTAGTTAGGTTCATAAAGACAATCAAGAAAGCAGGGCTCTATGCTCATCTTCGCATTGGACCTTACGTTTAAGCAGGGGGTCTGGATGTGATTGAGACATACGTTTTCTGGAATGTTCATGAGCCTTCTCCTGGCAATGTACTTTACTTTCTTCTAGTTTTTTTACTTCATAATTTAAGTCTGTGTTCTGTTTTGTTCTGTTCTTTACTCTGTTTTTATGGGGTTTTCTTAATTTTATCTTGTTTTACTGTTTTTTGTGTGTGGGTTTCAGTACAATTTTGAAGGGAGATACGACCTAGTTAGGTTCATAAAGACAATCAAGAAAGCAGGGCTCTATGCTCATCTTCGCATTGGACCTTATGTTTGTGCTGAATGGAACTTTGGGTACCCAGCATTTCTGCTTTTCCTCTCTCTCTCTCTCTCTCTCTCTCTCTCTTGTTTAGCAAATTGAGGGTTCTTCACTTACAGGTTTGATCTGTGTGGGTTTTGTTTTAATTTGTATTTCTTCTTGTGCTTTGTGCAGTGGATTTCCTGTTTGGCTGAAGTATGTTCCAGGCATAAGTTTCAGGACAGACAATGAGCCATTCAAGGTCTCAATTCCATACCCACCACCCATTAATTGTCTCTCAAAAAAATGTTCCAAACGATAAATTGCTAAAAAATTATGATTAATTGAACACTAGAAACACACTGTTTGGCATTTAAAAATATATTGTTAAAAAAAGAAATAAAAACTTGGTTTTTGTAGTACTAATCTGTTTATGAGATTATTAATTGATTATATGGTGCTGCAGACGGCTATGCGCGGTTTCACTGAAAAGATTGTGAATTTGATGAAGAGTGAAAATCTATTTGAGTCCCAGGGTGGCCCCATCATTCTCTCTCAGGTATTATAAGCTATGGCCCTCTGGGTATTTGGCATGTCTAATTTTGAGCCTAATTAGACAATTTTGAGTTTTAATGTTTCTGCAGATGCTATATCTTGAGCATTGTGCTAATTCATGATAATTTACTCTGCCTTAATGAATAAATTACACTGAAATAAATTAGTCCACAATGATGAGGCAAGTTGGTTTTGTTTGGTTGTGTGCAGATTGAGAATGAGTATGGGACGCAAAGCAAGGCACTTGGAGCTGCTGGCCATGAATACATGACATGGGCCGCAAATATGGCGGTCAGTTTGGGAACTGGGGTCCCGTGGGTGATGTGCAAAGAAGAAGATGCCCCAGATCCTGTGGTGAGCAGTCCTTTGATTCTTTAACTGCCAGATCTAGTTTGGTTTGCATCATATATAATCTTCTTTTTATCAACAAGTTTTACATTGCGGCTCCGTCGTAAAATATTTTTAGCAAAAATATGTTTTGTATTTTTCAGTGTTTGGCAGCACAAAAACTCGCTAAAATAATTTTTGTGTAAATTATTTTACAGTTATAGCCGTAAAACGACTTACCAAACGAAATTCCTTTAAGTTAAACTTCTCCACGTGGCTGAGTAATTGATGTTGTGATAGTTTGCAACATTATACCTTGTTGTGATGCATGAAATAGTTTCACCTACAATTCAACGTGTACATGGAGTGTCTATTATTCCATGTGATGGTCATGTTCATATTTGTATTGTCTTGTATCTGTACTGTTTTGCGCTAAGTAGTTGAAATTACAGGACTCCATCCAAATATCAGAAAATGAGTGAAAATTTTATTTTTTCTTGTAAAATGTTTTGCATAAATTTATTTTCCCTAGTAAATTGTTTTACGTATAAAAAAATGGGGCCTGCATGCCAGTTCTTTTGCATTGTCATCAATTTTTACCTGCTGCACTTGAGAACTTTAAATTTAGGATGTGTTTGGATCATGGATTTGATTAGGAATTTGGAAAAGAAAAGGACAAGGCGAGGGAAATGGAGAAAAAATTTAGCTTATATTTCATTCACATTTCTCTCATCTTTTTCCTTTCCTTTTCAAATTCCTACCCAAATCCATAATCCAAACTCAACCTTAGTTATGTAGCATAGTTGTCTTAAAATTTGTATGTATATGTAAAAATAGCAAATCATTACAAGGCTGGTCAAACCTTGCCTGCAAATGTGACATATTCACCTGTTTAGTAAGGTGCAAGAACTCAAAAAAAAAAAAAAAAAAGTAGAAAGGAAAAAAAAGGAAGTAGTTAATATAAAATCTTAGTTTGGCAGACATAAAATCTTAAATAATGCTTGTTATGTATATCATTATATATTTGTGTGACGAAATCATCTTAAAAATCCTTTTGGTGGGTATTGCTAACAGATAAACACATGCAATGGCTTCTACTGTGACGCTTTCTCTCCAAATAGACCTTACAAACCTACAATATGGACAGAGGCTTGGAGTGGCTGGTATTAAATTTGCATTTTTGTTTGGTCTCAAAATTTCAGCAAGAAAAAAATAGCGCTTTTAACTCTGTTTTTAACTCAAAATTGTGAAGGTTTACGGAGTTTGGAGGCACAATTCGCCAGAGGCCAGTTCAGGATTTGGCCTTTGCAGTTGCCAAATTCATTCAAAAGGGAGGATCATTTGTTAATTACTACATGGTTGGTTTTCTTACTCAATGTTCATGAATTCACTCTTTTATGGTAATAAAAAAAATTCTACCATCTCAAGTTATTTTTAGTAAAACTAAGTTCTTGTGTTCATTATGTGAAATAGTACCATGGAGGAACCAATTTCGGACGCTCTGCTGGTGGCCCTTTCATAACAACCAGCTATGACTATGATGCTCCACTTGATGAATATGGTAAAATAAAAATAAAAAACACTTTTAATGTCCTTTTTTTTTTTTGGGGGGGGGGGGGGGGGGGTGTAAAAGGGTGTTTAAAAGCTTAAAAAGAGTGTCAAGTGATAATGCTTGATAAATTTGCTTGTCACTGATCGCTAAATCATGTACCTAAGCTTTGGATACAGCTAACTGCTTCATTCCATTAACTGGATAGGTTTGATCCGGCAACCAAAATATGGTCATTTAAAGGAGCTTCATAGGTCTATCAAGCTATGTGAGCGAGCTTTAGTTTCAGCAGATCCAATTGCCACTTCTCTAGGAGGCCTTCAACAGGTATTCGAGACCCTCTGTTGCTTATGCCATTTCATATTTCTCACTTTTTCACCAAATGTCTTGCACTTTCCAGGCTCATGTATATTCTTCAGAAGCAGGAAATTGTGCAGCTTTTCTCTCAAACTACGACACAAATTCTGCTGCAAGAGTGATGTTCAATAACATGCACTATAATTTGCCTCCTTGGTCCATCAGCATCCTTCCTGATTGTAGGAATGTAGTTTTCAACACAGCCAAAGTATGTTGATCTTTACAAATTCGTTGATTTTGTTACCACGTGTTCAAACTTTTATGGAATTGAAAGTCCATTTTAATCCTAATTCTTATCATGCTACATATTTAAACTACCGGAGATGAAATTGATCCCTTGCATTTCCATAACAGGTTGGAGTTCAAACATCACACATGGAAATGCTGCCCAGCAATGCTAAGATGTTCTCGTGGGAGACTTATAATGAAGATGTATCTTCTTTGGATGACAGCTCAGCATTCACTTCATTCGGTCTCATGGAGCAGATAAATGTCACAAGGGATACTAGTGATTATCTTTGGTACATAACTAGGTGAGATTGACGTCCAAAGTTGATAATTTGTATAATGTACATGTATTGGACTTTTGAGCATTGAATGTAATGGTTTCATGTTTCGATTTTAATCCCCATATCAATTTGTTCACAGTGTTGATATTGGTTCATCTGAATCCTTCCTGCACGGTGGTGAATGGCCTACTCTCATGGTGCAGTCAACAGGTCATGCTTTGCATGTGTTCATAAATGGACAACTTTCAGGTACAATGCCAAATAACTTCTTGTAAGACCGTCTAGTGTTGTGCCATCCCTTCTAGCTGATTTGTGGTGCAATGATCTTTGTCTTGTAGGCTCTGCATTTGGGACAAGAGAGAAAAGGAGATTCTTATTTACAAGAAAGGTGAACTTGCGTGCTGGAACAAACAGAATTGCACTGCTCAGTGTAGCTGTTGGATTGCCAGTTAGTACTCCCTCCTTCCATATCCTAATTATCTCTGGTAACATCGGAAACAAGTGAAGAAATATTTTTTTTCCTAAACTGGTTCATTAGTACTTTATTGTGAAAAATGATGGATCTGTGTGGCTGTCCATTCAAAATGAAAACACTTTTGTTTGCACACAAGGCTCTTAGTTAAATCGGTTGAACCTATGTTACTAGAAAACGCTAATATCCTAGCGAATTATGTATTGGTACGCATGTTCCAAAACATAGTATACTTTCGTTCCAAAACGATAAATTTAGTGATCCGAAGTCATCTCCAAATTTTTTTCCAATATATTTCTTTAAATGTTAACTTAAGAGAAATATATATATATTTATATATGAATTAAAATCTAGGGTGAGTTAAATTTTGACAAGATAAAAAGTTAAAAATGAATTATAATTTTCATAGGAATGATTTGTTATATGAAAGAAGAAGAAATTTTTTTATTGGATACTTAATTGTTAAAAGAAAATTACTCTAAAAGTATTTTAAATTCTTAAGTGTAATATATACAAGTCTACTCCTATCGTATCACATTTTAGAGTATGTGGCATACCACGTTCCCGTTCCCGTTCTGTGTACCGGAACGATCCACGTTCTAGGTAACATAGGTTTGAACATTAGCTTTGATGTCATATTTGGTAAACTGGCCAAGAGAAATGAGAGAAGGCTAAATGACCTCCTCTTTTTTTTTTTTTGATATCGAGAACTCATCATAGGCAGGGCCCTTTGGGCTCACCCCAGGAAAGTAAACTTGAGGTTCAAAGGCCACCCTTAAGATGGGTTTAACCCATAACAAGATTATTTTTAGGTTACTCTAATGTATTGACTGAATTATGCAAGTCTGTGGACTATCGGTGTATCACTAAAATATGATTGTGGACTTGATGCACTTCAGTGATTACCAATTTTGTATCTGGTATGAACCACATATAAATGTTACTCGAGGAATGCACTTGTAGCTAATGAATACATTATTCAAGTAATCAATGCATCAAAGAAAAAAAAAATTAGTCATTAGATTATTTTCTTTTTTAACATAATATTGTTATTTGTTGTTGAAGAATGTTGGAGGACATTTTGAGTCATGGAGCACAGGAGTCTTAGGTCCAGTTGCACTGCATGGTCTGGACCAGGGAAAATGGGACTTGTCCTCGGCAAAATGGACCTACCAGGTTGTGAATTCTTACCTCCCTATTTATCAATGGCATTGTGGTTATTCAAAGAAATTTTGCCTCATGGATGCTTCTTCAAACAGGTTGGGCTAAAAGGAGAGGCCATGAATTTTGTCTCTCCTAATGGTATTTCCTCTGTTGACTGGATGCAAGGTTCTTTGATCGCACAAAAACAGCAACCATTAACATGGCATAAGGTACAAAGAATATGAAAGTAAAAAATAAATTGCAACAAAGATGAAAATGAATAATTGGCATTATGAATTTAATCTTAATCTTGACACTTTCTCTAGGCTTATTTCAATGCTCCTGATGGAGATAAACCACTGGCTTTGGATATGAGGAGTATGGGGAAAGGTCAAGTATGGATTAATGGTCAGAGTATTGGAAGATATTGGACTGCATATGCTAATGGTAATTGCAATGGATGTAGTTATTCAGGGGTGTTTAAACCTCCAAAATGTCAGCTTGGCTGTGGCGAACCAACTCAACGATGGTAAATCCTCATATAAAAATTCTCTAATGCACTACCATAGAATCATTTAATATTAGAGTAACAAACAAAATCACGCTTTCAGGTACCATGTGCCACGGTCTTGGTTAAAGCCCACGCAGAATCTGTTGGTACTTTTTGAGGAACTTGGAGGGGATCCCACAAAAATTTCTCTGGTGAAGAGATCGGTGACCACTGTTTGTGCCGATATCCCTGAGTATCACCCTATGATCAAGAATTGGCACATTGAAAGCTATGGAAAGACTCAAGAGTTTCACAAACCGAAAGTTCACTTGCATTGTGGTCCGGGCCAGTTCATTTCTTCCATTAAATTTGCAAGCTTTGGAACTCCCTTGGGCACTTGTGGGAGTTTCCAGCAAGGAACTTGCCATGCTTCTACCTCATATTCCATCCTAGAGAAGGTACCCATTGTGCTTTTCTGTGCCTTAATAACTTCACAAATACATATTACCTTTATGTGTTGGTTTATTTTATTTATTTTTATTTCTTGTTATATTTCACAGAAATGTGTTGGGCAGCAGAGATGCTCGGTGGCCATATCAAACACTAACTTTGGGCAAGACCCATGTCCTAATGTGTTGAAGCGATTAACTGTTGAAGCTGTTTGTTCCCCTACAACTTCTACAACCGTTCAAGCCAATTCAAGGGGTTGATTAGGTAAAGGTGGATAGGGATGCTTAAATATTGCATCTAGCGAATTAACAATACATACCCTCAAAAGAAAAAGAAAAAAAATGCAAGAAAAGTAAATAACGGGTAAAGAAAAGTGAATAAAGGGTAAGGTACAGGGAAAGCTTTACTAGATAGGCTGGAGAGAATGGTGCTAGAGGTAAGTTAAGTCTTTTAATTTAAGGGGGGGCTAAATTTAGCCTCTGTAAAGTAGTGATTTTTAGATGAGTTTGTAGATTTAGGGATTGTGGGCCCCCCATGATGGATTTTGAGCCCTGTCCCCAGCCTTTTAACCAGAAATGGGCAATCGGGTGAAGAACAGTGTGATTTATTAGTTTGTTTGTTTGTTAATTTGGGGGGAAAGAAAACCCCAATTTGGTTCATGTTAGGAGCGGTTCCTAGTATGACCTTTCTTTTCTTGTGTGCAGCTCTCATGAATTTGAAATTAGGTATTCAATTTTTACATATGGCCTTCCAATTTTTTTTTTTTTAATTTTGAGCTATTTATTGAAAATTTCAGTGTTGTAAACAGTGAAATTTAACTGTTTTGATAAAAATGAACACAGTGAAATTTTGTCAATCTTTTTTTTTTCTTCTAAATTTTATATTCATCACAGATCTTGCACCAGCATTTTTGAGTTTGGGTAGAGTTACTGAAAAGCAGAAGCTTGTTTGTTTTCATTTTTCAAAAAATACTTTTCAGAAAATTCTACTTTCTAATTTTTCGTATTTTTTTGTTTTTACTGAATTTTTTAAATATTTTAAGTAATTTTTTTATTTTTTAGACACACCTAATATAAATACACTTAAAAAGTGAAAAAATTGTAAAAAAAATCTTTTAAAAATTCACTAAATACCAAAAATATAAAAAAAATACAAGAACTCAGTATATTTTTTGTATTTTTATGTATTTATTAATTTTTTAAAATATTTTTTCACAAATTTTTTACTTTTTAGATACATCTAAGTAAGGTGCATCTAAAAAAGTAAAAAAAATGTTTAAAATTTTAAAAATATTCACTGAAAACAAAAAAAATACAAAAATTAAAAAACTCAATTTCTAAAAAATTTAATCCAGAAAATTCAAACCAAACACACTGATATGTTTCTGAGTTGTGGTTCTATTAATTTCTTTGGAACAAGTATGCAAACTGCTGAGGCAGTAATGAAAAATGTTAGAGTCAGACTATCAAATGAACCAAGCTATGCAAATCATTAAAATTCAATTCAGAAATCGGCCATATGTAACCATACAAAACTTGAATACATTTTAAAACACGTTGACTTTTCAAGTCAAGCTTAAGCAATCTATTTCTTGACTCAAAAATCTTATCTACATTAAAATATCAAACTACTCATTCTAGATTCATCTTTTTGTTTGTTAAAAATTTGTTCAAGACTAACTCATTATTGTAAACCAGCTAAACTTGAACACATTATGAAACTTGTAAAGTTTTCAAGACAAGTTTAAACTTATTACTTAGCTCAACTCGACTTGTCTCATTTACAGTCTTACATAAGCCAGTCAATCCATCTTGGCTCAGGCATCACCCACAGACTCCCAAGAAAACAACCCACTTTCCCAAGGCCTATAATTCTTTCTGCAAGCATCCTATGTCTTGTGAGTTCCAAATCATATGACATCCAAAAGCATTATCCTTTCAACATGAGGGTAACACTTCTATAAAGAATAAAACACCAATAAAATCACACGATATTAATCATATTATAGAATAAGAACTTGCAACATCCAGTACCAGTCTGTATTTAAATGCAAAACAAAGCGTAATTAACAATAGCATATAATAGGTCCAGAGCTTCCTCAAAAGGCAAAATGAGAAATTATTAGTAATAGGATTTTTAAGCCGTATTCATGTGCTTGGCAATAGTCTGCTGCAGCTCGTCTTTCTTCGCTCCCACAACCTTGTCCACAAGCTTCCCTTCTTTCAGGAACATAAAAGTTGGCATTGCTTCCACAGCCCAATCTTTAGCAACCGACTGCAACAAAGAAAATTAGCCACAAACGTTCATTAACAACATTGAGGTAAGTTTAGAGCGAAAGAAAAAACAAACTGTTCCAATCTCATTGATTTCATTTTTACCTCAAGCTCGTCCACATCCACCTTAAGGAAGGTAACAGTGGGTAGCTTCTTAGCTAACTCTGCCAGGAATGGTGCAATGAAACGGCATGGTCCACACCATGAAGCAGTGAAATCAACAACCACCTGCATCAATAACAGGCATGAATATATGCCAAGGGAAATTCTGCAAGATCAGAGACTCCTATGTGAGAAATAATTTACTTTCCATGAGTTGAAAAGAAATTTAAAAAATGACAATTAAGTTTATTTTAACCAAAAAGTAAATAAAATGACTGGATTTATTACTCTCAGGATAAGCAATTTGGTTCAAGTTGGATCCATTGATGTTAAATTGCAAATTGAATGGCGAATCATTTTGCTAAAATAATGAATCCTGAATCATAAGATTCACTATATATATTTAACATAATACATCATTTATGTATGTATAAACCAAACAAAACTAAGCCTTAAGTCCCATTAAATAAGGTCGGCTATATGAATCATTCTTTTCCATTCGACTCTATCAAAAGTCATTTGGTTATTCAAATTAAGGAGATTCATATCTCTATTTATTATACTAGCTCATGTCAATTTAGGTCTTCCCAAAAAATACACACTATTTAAAATGAAATAAATATTAATATAACTAAATTGTATTTATGTATATAAATATAATATCACGTATAACTGATCCCTTTTTTTATTTCTTGACTGAGAGGTCAAACAACGTTTCATCATCATGCAAAAATAATGATGATAATAAAACACAATGAATCATAGTGAATCACAAATTGAATCATAGTGAATTGTAAGCTTCACTCAACTTAAGATTCAAATGAATTGCAAATTGAATCGTAATTAATTGTCAAATTCATCCAATTTAAAATTCAACAGCACGATTCAAATCATTTTAGTTGAAACTCATATCGAATATTATGAAGTGAATTGTGAATCACACAATTCTAGCAACCATGGTTGAATCTCTATGGAACAGATGGAAAACCAGCAAGAAATATTGTCAAGGCTTTAAAGACTAAGACTCATAAATAACTACCACAACAGAAAAGCTGAAATGGTCAGAAGATGAAAATAGTTTAGATTGCTTAGAACCAGTATCTGACTACAGTCAACATTCCATCATTTTCATGGTATAACTTTTCTTCCTGGTCTACACAATTTTCTTGACATGGACAAACTAATTATGATTGATGCCAAATTAGATATTACAGGGATCTAAAGTAAATCTAAAATCATATAATACCAAAGCTTATATGGATTACAACCCAGCTGCATGCAGTCAAATCTTCTTGGGTATTTCATACTAGCAATTCATTTGTTTTTTTTACTCTATATAATCTGACACGAGACAGATCATCCGATCTGTATACGTCCTGTATTTCTCTGTTTTCAAATGAATATTGGCTCTAATTTGGATTTCCATTGACCAAGTATTAAACACCATATCTTCCATTTAGCTAAGGTGGGACTCTGTGGCTGCCATGTACCATCATCTAGAAATCAAGTCCAGAACTTACAATATCCGTTATTTTTCTAATTGTTCATTATCATAATACTAATAAGAAATTCCTATACTACTTAATAAATTATATTAGCATTCACACTAGGCGCTGTTTGGGAACTAGGCTTTTTGTTTTTTGTTACTAAAAGACAAATTGGTTACAAAATAAAAAAAAAACAAATCCAAACAAAATATCACATCAAACCCCATAATCATTTTACTTTTTCTCTCACAAACATCACATCCAACCACAAAAAAACCCAACTATCTTTCCAAACACAACAGTTTTTTTCTCCAATAATATCCTACAACTAAAAAACCCAATGAAAAAACCCACTTTCCAAACACCCACTATATCTCAACAAAGACCACTTCATAGCTGCATCTGATCTAAAATGGGCCGGGCAGGGCAGGACCTACTTATTCAAAACCACAAAACATTTTTTGTGCAAGTTGCAGTAAAAAATTGGTGAATACAAGTAGTTATCACACATAAATGACACAAGTAAAATTTAAGAGGTATCAGAAAAATCACAGCACACAAAGATGCTGCCGGTCAAGTCTTTGTCTGATATCTGTCTTTCGTTCTGGTTTGGGTTCCAGCCATCATTGGGAGGCTACATTCTCTAGGCACACGTTACCATTAACCACACAAAAAATATATAAAATAAAAGTAAACAAATAAGATAAATCACAAGAAATGAAGAAACATATGTGGTATGCAAAATTTCGAAAGAGATCTTATTAAATTATATATCAAGTTGAATAATACTAGAAATGCAGACATAAACAAGACGCATATGAGGAGGAGCTTACAATATCAAATGAAATACCCAAACAAATAACTATGAATATGCTGTGTTTAACTGCAACTATTCTTAATCTCAACAACTCAGAGTTGGGGACCTTTTTATACAAAACCTGGGTTGTTTAAAATCTAATTTCCTATAACCACGTGATTTGCAACTTATTTTCCAAATCCATATCATTTTATGAGGGCTTGAAGTCGATTTTTTTGAAACACCACTTAAATTGAATTTACATCGAAATCGTGTTTTCAAAACAGAATCTCCATTAACTTATTATAGAACACATTGAAGCTGGAAAGAAAACACAATTTCATAAAACAAATAACTATGAATGATGTATTAACATCCAATGGCAAGTTAACCCCGGTTATCTAAATTCTTATTTCACAAAAGCAAGTGATTTTCAATTTACTTCTCAAACCCATATTGTTTTATGAGGACTTCAAGTAGAATTTTGAAAACAGAATTTCAATCAACTTATTACAGAACTCACTGAAGCTGAAAACATAAATGCATGAACAAGTTCGGGGGAAAAAGTTTAAAAGAACTAGGGTTTTGGAATTAAGTTATCAGATAATAAAAACGAACAAAAATGCAAATTAATCTGAAATGCCTAACCAGAATATTAATCAACAAATTACGAACAATGAACAAATGTTACATCTCAAATGATAAAATAAAATAAGAAAGCACCATGCCAAATCAAACCCGTTATTCAAAACACAAAAACAATAAAACCCATTCATTAGAGTACCAAATTACAACTAAACTGGCTTTATAAAACACAAATCATATCCAAAAATAACATTTTAGAACAAAAAAAAAAATCAGATCAGAAAACACCAAACCAAATCAAACTCCAAAAAACACAAAAACAACAAAACCCAAATTACGACTAAACTGATTTACAAAACAAAAATCATGTCACAAAAAACATATTTTAGAACTCGAGAAAACAAAGGTAATAGAAAATCTGTACCAGTTTCTTGGAAACATTGTTCTTTTGGAGCTGTTCGTTCCATGAATCCGCAGTGTGGCAACTAATCACTTGTCCCTCCACTGCCATTTTTGCTTCCTTTTTTCTTTGTTTCTTTTTTCTTCTCTCTCTCGACCAAAATCGAAACAGCTTTTGTAAGTTTGTCACACAAGAAACGCCTCTGCCTTATTTATTTCATTTGATTCCCTTTCTCTCTTTATTATTAACCCTTTTTGGAAGATGACTAAAAGTTAAAAATTAATTTTAGCCTCTGTTTAGCAACTTAGGTTTTGGGTTTTTTTTGGCTATTTTAGTCACAAAAGACAAAATAAGTTATTTTAGTCACAAAAAATAAAACATCACATCCAAAGCTAAAAAAGTCAAAAAGTCCTTCCCAAACTAAGTTTTTTAACCCAGGCTAAAATAGTCAAAAAAAAGAAGTCAAAAAGCCAATCCACTTCCCAAACCAAGCCTTAATCTATTTCATATTACATTATTTTTTTTATTTTTTTATATGTTTTTAAAAAAAAACTAAATTTTTTTTATTTTAACTAACTTTCTAAAACAACCCTATATATAGGCAAAGATGGTGACAGGATCTTAAAAAAAAAAATATTAAATTTTTTATTTAATAGAATTAATTAAAAAAATAAAATTTTTAACTATTCTTTAATCCAATGATAAAATTATTTAAATTATTAATTAAAATAAAATTTTGATATTATTAAAAGTTATTAATTAATTTATTATAAAATTAAAAAATTTAAAAGACAAAATGTAATTTTTAAAATTACAAAAAATAAAATTACAATTTTGATACAGGCTCCTACAAAACACAACCTTCATGACCCCACGCAATTGTGTGAGAGAAAAAAAAAAAAAAAACCAAAAATACAAACATGTGATTTACATCAATTGCTGTTTTATATAATGATAAAATTATTTAAATTATTAATTAAAATAAAATTTTGATATTATTAAAAGTTATTAATTTATTTATTATAAAATTAAAAAATTTAAAAGATAAAATATAATTTTTAAAATTACAGAAAATAAAATTACAATTTTGATACAGGCTCCTACAAAACACAACCTTCTTGACCCCACGCAATTGTGTGAGAGAAAAAAAAAAAAAACCAAAAATACAAACATGTGATTTACATCAATCGGGAACTCATTTTTAGGGATCTCAAGCATTAATCATAAAATTATATTTTAAACAAATTTAGGAGAAAATATTTATAATTTATACTTGATTTAAATTTTGTTTTACAAGTACGTACAGAATTATAATTTTTTTTAATGAATAAATTTTACGATTACTGTTGTTACATTTTGAATATTTTAATTTGGAAAATATTGGTTGGACGGAGATTCTCATTGGACAGCTGTGTAATTGTACGCATGGCATGAATAATTGAGAAATGCTACAGAGCGAGCGTCCTCATGTTTATAGTTCCATCTCTTATAATTATAGCCGTTGCATAGAAAAATTCGTTGAATTCCTTTTGATCAACGTTAAAGGACACGTCTTTCGTTTTTTTTTTTTTGTTTTAGATTGTGAAAAAAAAAAAATTCATTGCAAAATTGACCAAAAATCGGTTCAATCTAGTACAATAGCATTACATATCCCAAAAAGAGATAAAAAAAATCTTCCATAGAAGGAAGGATGAAGTCTCCATTGAGGAGGAGAAATGACCCTCACAAGGAAGGAAAACAAATCTCTATACCAGAATGATTGTCACATTAACATATTAAAAATTAAAAAAATTAAATAGAAAACAATCAAATTCATGTTATCACCAAACTCATGTAAAACTTCACTGCTCTGTAACCTTTAACTTAGAATCTGAAGACTCTACATTTGTTGGTCAAGATAGAATATTAAGGTTGAGGTGATCGCTTAGCGTGAAACAAATGCATTATCCAGCATCGATTTTCGAATTGTAAGAAGATCTGAAACTAGATTTTAAAGTTTTGGATTCAATGGTGGAGAATGTAAGGCGGTAATGGCTGAATTGGCGAAACAAATATCAAATCTGGACGAGGATCGGAAAGAGAGAGAGTATAGGGAGATTGGAGAAGTAGGCTGTCTTCCTCTCTCCTTGGAGAAAAATCTAGTGAGAAAAGAAAGAGGGTTTTAGATTAGTTTTGGTTTAGGATTGGAATCATGATTTCACCCTATGATTCCAGCTGTTTGGATATAGTTTTTAAAAATTGATTCCAATCCTACATTTGAAAACATATTTGATAATTAGAGAGTTTTTGAATTTTTTGGTTTACCTGAATGTCTGGAACACTTTTTTTTGTTTTGTTTTGTGTGTGCGCAACTGGCACCTGTTTAATTAAAAAAAAAAGTATATTTATTTTTCATATTTTTTAAATATAGAAATTATTTTTTTAGACCAAATTCTTAGATTATTATTTGGCCATTTATTTAAAATTAACAAAAAAAAATTAAAATAAAAATTAATTTGTCACGGTAATTTTTAAAAAATAAAAAAAATTATAAAAAGAGTTTGGCTATGAGTTTTGAATAAAATTTTTAATAGAGTTTTAAGTTGTGTTTGGTTATGAGTTATAAGTTTTTTAATTAAGTTTTGAAAATCATAATCAAATAATTTTTCTTAATTCAAAACTCATTTCAAAAATTTGAAACTCAATTTAAAATTCAATTCAAAACTCTTTTCAAAACTCATAACTAAACAAATTTTCTCTTTTCAAATCATAATTCCAAAACTCACAAACTCAAAAACATGTGATTTACATCAATCGGGAACTCATTTTTAGGGATCTCAAGCATTAATCATAAAATTATATTTTAAACAAATTTAGGAGAAAATATTTATAATTTATACTTGATTTAAATTTTGTTTTACAAGTACGTACAGAATTATAATTTTTTTTAATGAATAAATTTTACGATTACTGTTGTTACATTTTGAATATTTTAATTTGGAAAATATTGGTTGGACGGAGATTCTCATTGGACAGCTGTGTAATTGTACGCATGGCATGAATAATTGAGAAATGCTACAGAGCGAGCGTCCTCATGTTTATAGTTCCATCTCTTTTAATTATAGCCGTTGCATAGAAAAATTCGTTGAATTCCTTTTGATCAACGTTAAAGGACACGTCTTTTGTTTTTTTTTTGTTTTAGATTGTGAAAAAAAAAAAAAATTCATTGCAAAATTGACCAAAAATCGGTTCAATCTAAGTACAATAGCATTACATATCCCAAAAAGAGATAAAAAAATCTTCCGTAGAAGGAAGGATGAAGTCTCCATTGAAGGAGAAATGACTCTCACAAGGGAGAAAAACAAATCTCTATATATGAATGATTGTTATATTAATAAATTAAAAATTAAAGAAATTAAATAGAAAATAATCAGATTCATGTTATCACCAAACTCATTCAAAACTTCACTGTTCTGTAACTTTTAACTTAGAATCTGAAGATAGAATATTAAGATTGAGGTGATCGCTTAAAGTGAAATAAATGCATTATCTAGCGTCGATTTTCGAATTGTGAGAAGATCTGAAACTAGATTTTAAAGTTTTGGATTCGATGCTGGAGAATGTAAGGCAGTAATGGTTGAATTGGTGAAACAAATATCAAATTTGGAGGAGGATCTGAAAGACAGAGAGTATAGGGAGATTGGAGAAGTAGGCTGTCTTCCTCTCTCCTTGGAGAAAAATCTAGTGAGAAAAGAAAGAAGATTTTAGGTTCGTTTTGGTTTAGGATTGGAATCATGATTTCACCCTATGATTCCAACTGTTTGGATATAGTTTTTAAAAATTGATTCCAACCCTACATTTGAAAACATATTTGATAATTAGAGAATTTTTGAATTTTTTGGTTTACCTGAATGTCCGGAACACTTTTTTGTTGTTTTGTTTTGTGTGTGTGCAATTGGCACCTGTTTAATTAAAAAAAAAGTATATTTATTTTTGATATTTTTTAAATATAAAAATTATTTTTTTAGACCAAATTCTTAGATTATTATTTGGCCATTTATTTAAAATTAACAAAAAAAAATTAAAATAAAAATTAATTTGTCACGGTAATTTTTAAAAAATAAAAAAAATTATAAAAAGAGTTTGGCTATGAGTTTTGAATAAAATTTTTAATAGAGTTTTAAGTTGTGTTTGGTTATGAGTTATAAGTTTTTTAATTAAGTTTTGAAAATCATAATCAAATAATTTTTCTTAATTCAAAACTCATTTCAAAAATTTGAAACTCAATTTAAAATTCAATTCAAAACTCTTTTCAAAACTCATAACTAAACAAATTTTCTCTTTTCAAATCATAATTCCAAAACTCACAAACTCAAAACACAATTTCATATTCAAATCAAATTTCTAAAATTAAACTAAACGCTACCTTAGAATTTGAGAGAACGTCTATGGATTTGAGAGAGTATATCATTCCGTATGTTTTTTTTATAAGGTTAATAGCCACTTTTGAAAACATCCCAAATAAGTTGTTTATTAATTTATTTCTATCGCATCATCTTTTTTATTTTTTTATAATAAATAAAAACTCAAAAATAAGTTATAAACAAAACAACCAAACGTGGGATCAACCCAAAAACAAGCATTTTTTTTTTGTGTGGAGAAAATACAATTCAGTGTAATATTTTAAAATTAATTATAGATTTATGATAAATTTATATATATTCATAATTAATGTTACAAACTTTTCCATGTATGTGAATTTTTTTTGTGAAAAATCCACAGGACAGTAAATTCCCCTTTCCCCCCTGATTTTCTTTGCTTTTAGCCCTCCCTGAAAATATATTATTTTAGTAACTTTTTAATTTTTTACCTAAATTATGAGGTAATAAAATTAATATATTTGAGATAATTTTTTTGTTCTCATAAAAAAAAAAGTGCAAAAAGTAAAGAAAGAATAACCTCTTTTGCTTTAATTTTTTTTTGAAAAACTTTAAGATCTTAAGCTTTACTTGACTGGACGAAAAAAATATATAAATTTGATAAGTTATTTATTTATTTTCTCACCATGTTTATACTATTCAAAATACATATTAATTCAGTTTTATCATTTTCATACAAATTGAACGTTCTCTCTCTGCACATATACCTATACATATAGATATATTATGGTTGAGCAATTGATTGAAATTATGGAATTATTTTATTCTTTAATAATGATGTACAAACATAAATATATATA